GGTTTGTTGTGCCTGCATGATAGATCAATTCAAGAGGCCGTTTTTGTTGGCTGTACAAAATCCATGCCAGCAAGCTTCCTGCCCTCATCACCTGTCAATAAACCAGGTAACTGCTCAATATAGAAACAGCATGTTAGAGTTGTAGCAGTGGCAGTTTCTTGAATTATAGTACATAGTAATACATAGTAGCCTATAGTAATTATAAAGAAGCTTTATTGTTGTTGTTAGTCATTTAAACAAGTACTGTAATGTTTTATGTCATAGATTTCGATAAAGTCTTAGAACCAAATTATTTTAAAATAGATCTAACTTATCCTCTATGCCAGGAGTTTTGCTTCTTGGAGATGCTTATAGCATGAGTCTGCTTCAGAATATTCTGGATCTCAGTGACAACACGGCCTTGTTGCAGGTTAAACGCCTAGGGGTTTATTCAAATGAATAGAATTAATACATATTTAAACATTTGTTATTTTCAGAACTGAAGATATGCTCTAGTGCACTTCTGTTAGAGTCAGTGATGAAATGCTTTGTAATGAGAATACGTGAAAACGCTATTATTTGATCCCTTCCATAGGCTAAACAGAAATTCCATTTGGAGCTGGATGTTCTCGCACAGGCGCTGTATGAGTTGTAGACAGTAGGTATCTGCTTCTGGCTTTTGGAATTAAAACAGAGTTAATACAAGGTAATATTTTCAAAATCTTGTGTTAAAGGGTGATTGGGAAAACTTTCACTAGAGGGAACTCTCTACCACAAGCCAAACGTTCATCATCAGAGACTGGCCTCTAATGTAATGGACCGCTGTACACTGAATAGAACCATTAAAGCCATAAACACTTGCAGATCATGTTAATATACATTGTCAGACCATTTGAATCATTACAAATGATCATGTTAAATATTAGATCTTAGAAGAGCCTGCTTGTGTTATTTTCAATTGGGAGGGGAGTGTGTCTCTGGAGCAGTTGGACTGCTTTCTATGTAGGTTCAGACTTCATCAGACATGTAGTTCTAAATCTACATAATTATTGTCTGCATACTACATCTAACATCTATGTCGAACACCAGGCTGAACCCCCGCCCCATGACACTGATTGGTCACTTCTTTGGCGTTGTATTGTACGCGGTGTACTTAAAAGTCAAGGCAAAGGTAAGACAGGACAAAGCAGGAGTGCTGCTGAGGAGCATGGGAATTCTTTATCATGCATGTGCGGTCATATTCCCTCTCATATTTTTTGAATTTAAATACCTCTTTTATGGATTTTTTTAGGCCTTTGAAGTAGTTAACTAATTGCCTATTTGTATCATACATCACAAGACCAAAAATGTGTATACTTTTTACTAAAACTGTACTGTATATGCATTTCAGATTTTTGATTAGCTTTTACAGAATCCACATAAGTTTCTTTTAAGTTTGGTTTCCATGATGGTGGAATTATGGTTTTAGTGGCCTGAAGATTGTAACAAATTCTGCCCTACAAAACGCTGTAACATTTTGTGAAAAATGGGTCTCTTAGACTATGATCTGTGCTGACAAAGGGGTCAGAGAAAATTTAATGTGAAAATGAATATTCAATCAATCTTTGAGGAAAATAAAGCATATTCAGTGGTCGCATATTTACTGGTTTTGGCCTTTGTAGGGAAGCATTGTTTATCCAGTTTTCAAAGTTCTCCAAGATTAAAGGAATAGTACAGTTTGATGAAAATTTACTCACCCTCTGCCATCCAAGACAGTTTGTTACTTCATCAGAACAGATTTGGAGAAATCTAGCATTACATCACTAGCTAACCAATAGATTATCTGCAGTGAATGGGTGCCGTCAGAATGAGAGAACAAACAGCTGATAAAAACATCACAAAAATCCACAAGTAATGATGAACTTATGAAGTAAAAGGCTACATGTTTGTAAGAAACAAATCCATCATGAACACATCTTAGCTTTAAACCATCACTTCCATAATCTATAATAACAGTTCCTCCAATGAAAAAGTTCATCCCCTGTTGTCCTCTTAAATAAAAAAAAAATGGATTTGTTTCTTACAAACACGCAGCTTTATCAATAGTACAGCGATGCATGAAGCACTGCTCACACAAATCACTTTCAAATCAAGCAGCTGTCTATTGGTCAACACTGTGAATTCTCATGGATTCCTATTTAAAATAGATTTTGCATGTAGAATTTTGCAGTAAATGTGACCATACTTGAAGGCGAAAGTTTGCGGGCAAAGATGTTTATTGTCAATATTGCACAAAATGCACAAAAGCGCCACTCACACAGAGGTAATCTACAAGTCAAACATCTTTCTGTTTGTCAACATGGTGAATTTGAAAGAGCATTTGAAGCCTGATGCAAAATCTGCATATAAGAAATTCTCAATTGCATGGATTCCTATTGAAACTGGATTTTGCATGCAATTCAAATGAGACTGCACCTTTACTTTCTGAAGGTCCTTGGACACTGAGGCCCAAAATTTTTGTACGTGTTTTTCGTTTTTGTCATCCTTTCTTATCAAAATGCTTGCTATCGATGCGAAAACACCTAAAATTGGACCTGATCCGAATTTTTTTTATGACGGACGAAAATTTCGGAGGCAGTGTGTAAACGTGATCGACATAATGTGAGGTTGTATTTATTTTTTAACGTGTGAAAATTTTGGACAAGACTTTCGGACTCAGTGTGCAAAGACCTTAAGTCTTTCTCCTTCATGCATGCACACATAAAACCACCAAAACACCATTATTACATAGATATTATTGTGATTAATACATTGACACATAATCTGTCAGGGATCTTCAAGAGGATTAATGACATTTCTTTGAGCTTCAAATACTGGAAGACCAGGAATGTGCAGTTTGGCCCCAGAAGGGTGTCCGAGTCCTTCGGCTCCACGATCCCATAGCATGCAGAGAGCATCAGACCTTCACAGCAAGACGTCTGCTCTGACAACAGACGCGCACAGTCGGGTCAAATGTTTGGGCATGTTTTCAGCTGGCCACAATGGGAAACTGTCATCTCTTGGCTTAAACTTCAAGTCTGAACACTGCTAAAAGAGCCAATTTCCCATCAATTTTCACAGTTTTTTCAACAACTTCTGTGTCGATGTGCCTCTTTGTAAATGTTGCAGTAACAGGCGTTCTCATGATCGCTGACAGCAGTCATCCTTAAGCCCTGGAGACTGGCTCTGGTTGCACCAATCATTTCATCACCCTCGAACGCCCAGGTCACCTTATATACGGTTCCCAGGTTACCGTTGATAAGAATAGCCTGTCTCAAGAGACCGGCTACCTGACGAAAACTCCACGTTCACATTGGGTTAATGTCGTGTGCATATAGAAATGTATTTATTGGAACAAATTTACAAGGAAAGTAGCGCAAACCATATCACTGTCACACATAACAGCAATATGGGACGTAGTTATGTACACAGTACACTAATAAAGGTATAAATATATAATTGCTATATGTATTTATATATGTATATATACTCCTTCAGATGCCCCACCCACCAAAATGGCTTCCTAAAAGACAAACGAAGGACTTGCAGGAAAGCATACGGACATGAAAAGGGCACCACACGTGAATTTGCATGTTACTCCACATTTTTACAGCAACACGGTACTGAATATTACATTAAGTAGTGGCTTTTGAGTATATAGAGCCTGTGTGAGTGCACAGACACAGATAAATAACGGGGGTTTTGAGGTTAGATGCAATGCTACAGTTGAAGAAAGTAGTAGGACTGAAAACCCATTGTTTTATGACTCCTGGGAAGGTCTGGAGCTACATTTCTTTTGGAAAGTTCTACAATATTCTGGAAAATCCATTAGCGCCCTTCCTTATCCTCCAAACTAGAGGACCTCAGGCTGCAAATGGGTAAAGAAACTTTCATTGGGAAACCAGCGAAGAACACCCACCCATGCTGACCATTTCCAGAAATGAAGGACAGGGTACGCTGTATATCTGCTCTGCCTCTATCAGGGCTTCTTAGGAGCCAAGTGGAGGGTGTATAATCAGTTATGGGGGTCTAGTGATGTGGCCTTATAACCCCACTTTATTGTGTACCGAGTCCGGTGGGGGGGGGTTATTCAAAGGCCCATATTTCAATGTCCTGCACATAGAAGTCCTCCGTTTTCGAGAGCATTGGATTTCCAAAGGTCTTACATGAGTGAGTTCTGCCATGATAGAGGTCGCCATCCAACCACAGCCCAAATTCACCCCTAAAGTTACAAAATAAGAATGAATTCATTTACATACTATACAGTGGTGGCCAAAATTATTAGAACACTAGTATTTTCACGAGCTAAAAAATGGTTTATGTCAGTTATTTCTATCTTTTGCCGTGTCAGTAGGACATATCAGTTAACATTTCCAACCCTTCATTTTGACATTAATTGTAATAATCAAGTGAGATTTTTGTCTGACTGCAGCCAGTGCTGCACACAGAGATCTGATCTCATCATCATCCAGTCTGTCTGGAATGACATGAAGAAACAGAACAAACTGAGACAGACTCAATCCAGAAGAACTGTGGCAGCATCTCCATGATGCTTCAAGAAACCTACCTGCAAAGCTACAGTACTGTTAAAAGTTTTAGGCACTTGTGTAAAAATGCTGTAAAAAAATAATGTCATAAATAGATTTTCTTTATCAATTAACTTCTATTAACTAAATTAAATCAACATTTGGTGTGACCATCCTTTGCGTTTAAAGCAGCTTTTGCCCTCGGTGCACTTGCGAATAGTTTTTCAGGCAGCTTTGCAGGAAGGATTCTTGAAGCATCTTGGAGACGTTGCCAGGAGTTCTTCTGGATTTAGTCTGTCTCTGACTAAAACTGTTTAGTTTGATCTGTTTCCTCATGTCATTCCAGACAGACTGGATGATGATGAGATCAGATCTCTGTGTGCAGCACTGGCATGTGATAAATGAAATATGCCACATTTTTATCTTTACATACCCTCCACCGCCAAAAGCTAAGGAGTCCATATCTCCTTTGATGAAGAACATATTGTCACCACTCTACTGCTCCATCTAAGACATACATGTATACTTCATTAATTTATTCCCTACCTCAAATTCTGGACAGAATGTGAAAACGAATGTCTCTCCGGTGCCATAGAAGCCGTCACTGACTTTAAATGGCTCTGAAGCGAGAGCTCCAAACATCTGCAGAAAATAAGCCAAAGATTGTTTTGAATATTTGATTAACTTCATACTGTGAAAGCTATGCATTACAAGACTATGTAATTTTCACAGTCTACACATCAATTTTTCCAAAAACAATCTATGTAAAACCACACACTTCAGCTTAAACCCAGAAGCTTACGTTCATACCTGTCCATCACTGTCCTTGATCACCATGAGTACCGGGGAGTCCTGGGCCTGCATGGCGCGGTACAGGCTCTTGATGCTCATGCCATGTTTGGATGTGCTGAATGCCAGAGACCAGGGATAGCCAATCGTCCTGGGGGGGAGGTGCTTGGCCAGCTGAGGATTGGAGTTACAGGCCAGAAATGAGTAAAGAAAAGTCCTAAAAGATCAGGACAGCACAGAAAGGGCACATGGAAGCAACTTCAAGTAAATGTATAATAAAAAATAAAGGCCTCTGGGAGCCAATTATACAACAACTGAAATGCCACAGGTAGATGATGAAAATGCCACAAGAGTCCCATGAGAGCTAGCCAAAGGTTAAGGTGCATCAGAGTTAAACATGATAAGGTCAGCATATAGATATGGACCCAAAATCAAATATAACTTGCCTTTTCGATCTGATCAGGTTGCAGCAGGACACTGGGCTCATTCAGACTGGGCCTGAATGATTCGGGTTCTGGGTCACTCTTCACCATGTGTTTGGAGTTCACCTCTTCCTTGGTTGTGATCTGATTAAAAATAGAAAGAAAAAGAACTGATAAATAGGAACTCACTATTTCATTCTCCCAAAATTTCACAAACATTCTCTTACATTGAGAGCACAAAAATCTGGATAAATCTGTATATTTATGGTTAGATTACTTTAGAAAACTTTAAAATAGCACACTGTTTGTTCGTTCTATCTATCATTTGTTCCATTTATCCTTCATTCATTTGATCTATTCTTCATTTACTCACTCTTATCTTTCATGTTTGTTCATTCTATCCATCATTCATTCATTCTATCATTTGAAATATCAGTTGACTTTTTGATCATTCGTTTGTTCATTCGATCTGTCGTTCTTTCTATCTGTCCTTCATTCATTCTATCTATCGGTCGTTTATTTGTTCTCTTTTGTTTGACCTTTCGTTTGTTCGTTCTATCTATCATGTGTTCATTCATTCATTCTACCTGTAGTTCATTCAATATATCGTTCATTTGTTCTTTCTATCATTTGTTCGATCTCTCTATCATTTGTTCAGCCTATTGTTCGTTCTATCTATCGATTGTCTCCTTTATTTGTTCTATATATATCGGTGATGGTATTTATTACAATATAGTTACTGTCATTTCATAAAGTTATATTTTCAAGATAATTACCGGTATTTATGATTTTCATTTATACAACAGCTGAATAAAGTTAATATCGAGTAACTTACAATACACTATCTATCTATCTAGGCCTTTCTATCTATCTATCTATCTATCTATGCATCATCCAATCAAATGACTTTTTTAAGACTTGACTCCAGGTAACTGGCACCAGTCATATCAGGTAACATAATCTGAAATATGCCATGTAAACAGTACTCTCAATGTAAGAGAACATTTGCAAAATTCTGAAATGGTATCATGCCCTCCACAGAGGGCATCAAAAGCAGTACAGCTCAATATAGGAGAAAGTCAGACTACAGGACGTGAGGAGTGAAGCTTACAGAGACACACATTTATCAGCCAGACGAATCAGGCTTTAAATCTGGTAATGTGTGCTTCTACATCAGTACAACCCAACTGATGTAGACAGAGAAAGATGGATGGATGGAGCTCAGCGAGGTTTAGCTTGCAGGAAAATGTACCAGGGGGTCTTACTTCAGGAAGGCTTATCTCACAGGTTAAGGAATGAGAAGTATAACCGTAGTTAAGCACGGGAATAAAGGTTAGCAGGAAAACGGGGTAGTTTGCCAACAGCAATGCAAACCAAGGCAAATATCCAAGGATCACATGTCAAGAATTTACAATCCACAAACATCAGATTTGGAGCTGATATTTATGTTTTGTTTTTTTTATGTATATTTACAAAAATATATTCAGTAAAGCCTCAAACTCTTGGATGTTTGCACTGTTTTCATGTTTGCAGGGAATAGGGTTAGTGAGACCTCATCAACACACTTTCAGGATTGGTTTTTCCTTTAAAGTCAACATGAAATGACATTCACAAGCATTTTACTAAGATAATGTGATGTATGTCAGACTAAAACATGATATTCAACAAGAAATAATGCGTGCAAGTTTGAGACAAGCATTAAATGAGTGCAATAACTATTAGACTGCAGTACCTACAACATTTACCTTCTAACAACGCCTACATAGTTAACATTAACCCTTACTGCCTTGTTAACATCAGGCTTTTATTATTTTTAGAATACAAAAATATATAACCATAAATAACAATTAATAAAAACAGCAGGCAATAAAAACTAAATGATTAAAATATATACATTATTATAATATACTTATTTTTAGTATAAATTAAATTATTACAAAATTACATTTTAATTTTAAACAATTCATTGAAATATGCCGCTGTCAATGTGGAATGATTCATTAACACAACAGCAGTGCACACAATAAAAGCTAAATTACTAAAATATATAATTATTACAATAATATACTAACATAATATAATATAATACAAAAAAATATAACAATAAATTACAAAATTTTACATTCTGATTAAAGATTACAAAAACAAAAAGTGAAGATTCAGGCAGTGAATAATAATATACTTCAATAATAATAGGCTATAATATAATATAACAAAAATATTACATTTTGATTAATAAAAAGGTAAAAAAAATAACATGCAGTGAAGAATCAGGCACAGTAAGACAGGTAAGTGTATTAATAAAGCAAATAGGGATAAATGTAATGTCATGTTGACTTTAAGAGTGTGATGATTGCTGTCTGAAGAGTAAGTCAGAACAAGCACTGCAGTCAAATGCAACTACTTTTAGATACTTGATCAAACCCTTCTGGAAAGGTCTCTGGGGGACAGCATGAGACTAACTACTATGATATTTGCTTAATTTATTGCTTCCTCTTATTCAAGCCATCTAAAACCCCTTCTGTCATCCAGATGGAAATGCCAGTTGACAGATATCCAGTTTCAGTATTATTGCAGAAATTCTATCAGCCTTTAAGTGTCATTTCATATAAAAACGGCTGTATCTCAACTCAGGGCCAGTTTTATTATTCCACACTCCACATAAAGACCAGTGCAATCTGCTGATCAAGGGGAACAAATGCTGTAATACAGCCATTATGCATTCTGATGTAGATCAAACAGTAGAAGAGTATTTTTTAATTCAATTTGTGAAACCCAATCAGATTTGGGTTGATTTTCATACAGTATCCTAATTGTTGCGTTTAATGTTGAAGTGATCAGCAGACATGCTGTGGCCTTTGTGATGGTTCGGTGTGGAGCTGAGCGTGTGGCACCTGAAGACGTTTGCAGAGCGAGCGCAGGTCCTCACTGTTTAGCGCATCTATCCGCCGGTAGTACTCAGTCACAGAAACTACCTAATGCACAGACAGAATAGTGGTGTTGCATGAGAATCTGCCTGACATCCGAAAATTGATATGTGAAGGGAGAGAAGTTATCTGGTATGTTCCTCTGCAGCTTAAACTCACAAACTTGGAGATGGAGGAAGGGACATGTTAGTAAGTTCAAGCCATTTACTTGTTTTGCACAACTTAAATGAGAAGACCAAAATAAAAACTGCAGTAAATAAGAACTAAATGACTGGCGAAAGCACTTTAAATACCACTTGACCCGTGTGTTTCCAGCTGCATCAGAACTGCAGTCAGACTCAGGCTGGGTCTCATGTGCCATGAATCAGCTTAATCTAACAGGATTCACCTGACGAGATCAAACAGCACTGTCTCAAAGACGGATCACACGTCTTCTGCAACAACTTCCCCAGACCAGCCGCTCAGCAGCATGTCACGTCTCCAAACAACACAAAACAGCGTTTTCAAAGCTGAAGCACTGAACAGTTGTAGCTATGGCTGTCTGCCCACACAATATCTAAATCAAAGAATAATGAAGTTATCAATGTTTTTGAGTCTCCATTTATTTGATCATAAAACAGTAAGTCAAGAGTCAAGTCAAGAACAGTAATTTGAGATTGTAATAAAATTTCACAATTACTGTTTTTATATATTTATGATGAAATACATACATAAATATACACTATAAAAATGTCATAAATTAGCATTTCTTATATTAAGCAGATGTGCAAAAGAAAAAAAAACAGGTTAATTTGATGAGCTGCAAACATGTTGTCATTACTTGTATATTTTTTCATCTAATATTTTTACTATAATCTATATTATAGGCATGTATAACAAATAAAGAAAAAAGGTCTCTCTCTATACCGTGTATATATAGGCCTATATATATATATATATATATATATATATATATATATGTAAATTACAAAATATTAGGCTACATTTTAAATAATAGCACAAAAAATATGCAGCTGTCAATGTGAATTGACTATTTACACAACAGCAGTGCAACATCAGAAATGATCTACAATCTATAACCACACATTTTTTTCCTGTAACTGAATATTTTGATAAATAGATACGTGGTGATGAAAAACACATTATCCAGAACGCCTTGCTCCTCTTACTTATAGAGTTAATTTGCTTATGCTCACATATCCAAAAGCCCATCCCTAGTAATGCCATTGGATTTAACTCCCAAAATCAGAAAGCATGCTTTATACTGTATATAGGTCAAAGACAAAAAAGGGTTTAAGCATAAAAACAATAAGTGTTACATTTCTAAAATGTGCCACTATTTATTTGCCCATTTGTAAGAATGTTTTACTAATTTGAAACAAAATAAAATGTAATATGCTCCCTTATTCTTTTACATATTTTAATATGTATACTCCAGAATAAGCATATTGTTTGAATTTTGACATAAATAATGTGTTACACTGAATGACAATGTAACATTATTTCAACCAAATTTTGACATTTTTATCCTCCAAAAACTTATTTGAAACCTTAAAAGTAGACACTTTACTTACATTTAATGTGCTTTCTATGGACATAAAATCACTTTTGTAAATTTCTTTTGATGCGGACATCTTAACGTCTTTGACCCATATGCAATCTATTCCTACACTAGTAATGCTCTTAACATGCACTTGCAGCTTTCACCAAAAAACAACCAAGCACAGTTTTCTTTGAAGAGCTTTTTATGACGGAGGCGGCATTTTGACTAATAATCGCGACAGGAGAAAAATAAACGCAATCGTGCGGTGCTGCTCAAAGACGAAATTAGAAAGTCCGTCTTGCCTTTTACAACGTTTCGCGCCATAAGAGCGGGTGCGTTTCGTGTCGAGTTAAAAATACACTTGCGTTCAAAACAGCTAGACGCAGCAGCGCAGTGGGAACCATGCGTTCAGTTTCATTTCATTTCCACCCGTTTAACTGTTTAAACATAATAAAGCAAAACTTTTAATAAGGGAACATTCCGAGGCGTTGTTTTCCATGTGGAAAAACTACCGACGAGGTTGAGGCTGTTGCGTTTTGAGAAATTGATCGTAAAACCAGAGCTGCGTTATGCACGTGAGGAAATACTATACTTACTACACAGTATGCAACTGCATACTTAATAAAAGTATGCTAGGCTACTGCAAAAACATGTGTCTGCAGACTTCACCATCATGTCTAAATTACAGCAATTTTCAAGCCTAGAAAGCAACAGCTGCTTGCATGCATAACCACACTATTCAGTGTGCATGTCAAGTGCACTCAAGCACAAGTAGCTCAGCCACACACAAACATTACAACCACAGGGAATGTGTTTTTTTTTTACCAGGCCAAAGCTGTATTTGGGCGTCAGCTGACATCCCTCCTTAATTCTTCTGGAGAAAAACATCACTTCTGCAGAAGGCCCCGAGATATGCAGGTGTATATCCGATATTAAGTATCCACGTGGACCCACGGAGGTACAGACACTCTTAGAAGTGAACTAGAGGCTTTGCGCTGTTTATATCCCAGACGGACCAATGGGATGGCAGGCCAACAGAAAAGCATGAACTCATGTGGCCTTCCCTCTGGCCAGCCCAGATAAGAGGCTGCACAGGGCTTGAGTCATATTTGATAAAAAGTCAAATAGCTATCTAGAAGATGTTATAAATAAACATGCACATTTATATAGCCTAGAAAGTATCCTCTTGAGATCCAGCAAAATAAAAATAAAATAATAACAATAATAAAAATAATAAACAAACTTTTTTTTTTTTAACATAAGATAAATAGGTACAAAAAAATGTTTGAGTCATATTTTAAAAGACGACAAATCTGGAAGATATTTTAAATAAAAATGTACATTTATGCAACCTAGAAAATATTCCTCTGAAAGTCAGCAAAATAATAAAATAAACATATATAACAATAAATAAAATAAACAAAGGGAAAGGTTAAAATACCAATATAAATGTTAAAAATAAAAAGACCCAAGAAAGCAAGCAAAAAAATAGGTTTTGCATTTTTTAAATGACATATTTTACACTTTTTCGCACATATGAAATGTATTGTTAATGATAAAAAATGATATTAATATTTTATCTTAACAGTATTTTGTAATTATATAGCATTACTATTGTAATATCTTGGTCACTGGTGTCTTCTACCAGGACCTAAATGTAGACAAATAGACAAAAATTAATTGCTGGATCTCAAGAAGATCTAATTATTGGTCAATTAACTATCATAATTTCTTTATCTTCTTCATTGAGTGTTTACAGTAATTATCCTTGACTATAAAACAATAAAAAGCATAATCTACATTTATCAGTCAGACAGTCTTGCTCACTGGAGTCCGTAAGTGGTTTAAGAGGGATGATGAAATGATTGTGTCCATTTGCAGATGTACACAGTAACAGCCAAGTCAAACACGCATTACAATGAAAGGACATTACATACCAGTTCATCACATCCTTTGAAGGGAAAAGATGTCATTATGAAAATAAGACACTGCAACAAGACATTACATGGACATTGACAATGGCTGGCAACAGGAACAAGCATGCATTCATACTTAAATGTTAGTATGTGTGCATAAACATGGTTGAAACTGCTGACGAGGATATGAACTCTGAAAGAAACAGACAAACACACACACACACACACACACACACACACTCCAGTGCTGCTGTGAATAACAGGCTCGTGTTCAGGAGAGAACATAAACATCATGTAAGCATATTCATGATCACATGACAACACAATCGCAACAAAGACGTCAGCATCAAAGCAACGCAACATTTCAATAAAAAACATGCCTGAATTAACATAAGTATTACTATTTATGACAATCAAATAAACACACACATTACAAATCATTAAAATAGTCAATTATATTTAAACCTCATCTAATGCATAATATATACTGTATATTCTAGGCTTTGCATTTAGTTTTTAGGCTTAAATTATATTTTTGGCTATCAGGTTAAGACTTATCTTACAGCAGTTGTTCATACCTCCCAGTCCTTGAATGTGATATCAGGTACTGGTTTGTCGTGCTCCCCGCTTTCAGCGTCCTGGTTCTTTTTAACCACTACAAACCCAGGCTCCCGTGTCAGTCCAACCAACCCTTCTCCATACACATCAGGGGTCCACTGGACAAAGAACGCATACAGGTGGTCTGACCTACAGGAAACACACACACACACACACACACACACACATGGTTCACTCTTAAGAAATAACACAAGACCAGACCAAACGGGACCTCCTCAAGGCCAGTTCTTCATTCACGTTGGCATCCTACTACTTTCTAATGAGATGTTTCTAGTTGTCCATTAAATACTGTGCATCAATTTCAATAAAAAAAAAACAAAACAGATTTATGGTAATTAAAAATTCTTTAATATGTTTTGCTTTGTTATGCTTTTTTTGTTATGCTGATTTACTGTAATGAAAAATACTTTGAAAAATATGTGCACTAATTAATGTCACTGGTCGTATTCTGCATAATTCATCAGTCTTATGGGTCTCATACTTTTAACCAATGAAATTCCTTAATTTTTGATGACTGGAATTACTAGATAAGGATTTTTAAAGTTGGTTTTTAATTGATTTAATTTTTAATTGCTATTTAATTATTTCCATAACTTTTCCAGGTCTGGATATCATAATTTTAATTTTATCATGAATTTTTAAATTTTACATTTTAATTTTCAAACTCCCTGATGTTTCCAGGTTTTCCATAAATTCCACCTCTAAATAAATAAAAAAATCCATTAAAATCTGTATAATTAATTAAAATCCTGTTGGACAAAATGTCTTTTTTTTTTTTTCTACTAAATATCCTGTTGCTTTGAGTAGGTTTCATATTATGGAATTTAAATGCTTTGCAAATTGTATCATTTAGGTTTATCTAAATTATAATAAAATAAAGTTAATTTGTAAACAGGGTTCCTGTAATCAAGATAATAATAATAATAATACATAAACAAACAAACAAACAAATAATAAAACCATTTATGGAAAAGTCAAAGACACTTCTATACTATGTCTACAGTCAATGTAAATTTTTATTGCTTTTGATTTCATTGGTCAGAAAGTGTAAGAACCATAACTTATGGCATACATTATAATACTAATTTATTTGTATAAAAATTGCATACTTAAAATAGGCTCCAGGTCTATACTGACTGTCTATATCTAAATCAACCACAATGCATGTCCGTAGTCTGATATACCACTTTCCTAGATTGCTCTGTTCAATTTATAATGGTCTATGTCAACAGCATCGTATAGGTGATTACAGCATGTTGACAGTGATGAAACCTTGCCCTGTAGTCTTGCTGGTAAACAGCACTGATGTTGAGAGATCATTTACAAAGATCTACAACCATAAACACACACACATATAGACAGGCACAAGCTAGGATGCACATATACACACACGATGACCTGGTCATGGAGAGATTTGGATGCGATCCAGGCGACTCCTGGGGACATGAGGCACAGCTTACAGGCTATGAGAAGTACGCACGTAGGCGAGCACCAGCTAACATTGATGTTCCTTTGCAGTTCAGAAATGACAAAATGGACCATTGTCAATGCTCATAAGGATCATGCGACTGGCCACCAAACTGGGTCAGACAACAGTAGAGCAGTTATCTGTGCTGCCCTTGCCATAGCCACATCTTTGATACATAATGACACTTCTTTTGCATGGATGCCACTCTGACACGAATGCAGACTCGGTTTGTGTGAGCTTAATAGGTCCAGATGGAGGACACAAACCATTTGTGAACTACTGATCTCTCAAATACACACTTAAAATCAGGAATACAAAACAAGTTACTGTATGTAAACATCATAACTCAATGAACGGATGTGTCAGCAGACTAAACAGAAGTCAAAGGGTGAAATTGTGCTTTTTTACAGTCTGCAGTTCAAAGTGATTTTTCAGATGCCTTATTATTTTAAATGATCTGTCATGTTCATAAATAATGGAATCACATTACAGACTCATCTGTTAGAGATAATGCTGTTTTAGATAATTACGTTGATTTATGGCTCCAGGGAAAGCTGAAAAATACATTGATCCATGCATAATTCAGTTTGGAGATGAAAACGCACATATGGAGCATGCAAATCTCTCTTAATCTGACTGTGGCTGAATAGCTGTATTATACAGAAGTAACAGATTCTGTGACGGATTACATAAGGTTTTGTTTTTAGGTCAGGTAATTAGTCACAGTCATTTCTAGTGGCACCAGATTGATCTCGTTCCAAATAGAGACTAAGGATTGGCATAGGATAACCTAGCAGATTTATGTAGGTTAATGCTTAGACAAACATTTTTTGAGCCCAAACTAACCCTCAATACACACCTGCTGTACTCTTAAAAGAGTCATATAATGAGAAATCAAATTATCCTTGATATACAGTTGTGCTGTGGAAACACTTTAACAAACTAGAGCTCCCTGCCCGGGCCACAAAGACCATTTATTGAAACCCCAGCTGCAAAAATTGCTTGCTCATGTTTGACGTCACATATATACAGCTTAGCCAATCATAAAAGAGGTCAGTTACATAGGGGTCTTACAAATAAAACAGCAAAAACAAACAATTTAATTATTAGTATCAGAGACAGCATGAAAAAATATGAATGCAAAGCTAAAAAAAAATTAAAAACTAAATATAAAAATAATAAAAAATAAAAATTTATTCATACATTTTTTAAATGCTTTTATTTAAAAAAATTACACTTTTTTTTAAAAGTTTAGGGTTGGTAAATTTAACATTTTTTAAATTGTTTTTGAAAGTGTCGTATGCTCACCAATGCTGCATTTATTTGATAAAAAAAAAATCTTTACAAGTTAATAATATTGTGAAATATTATTACAATTTAAAATAACATCTTTCTATTTGAATACGTTCAAATGTAATTTATTCCCGTGATGCGAAGCTGAATTTTCAGCATCATTACTCCAGTCTTCAGTGTCACATGATCCTTCAGAAATCATTCACATATGCTGATTTTCTGTGCAAGAAACATTTATTATTATCCATGTTGAAAAGAGTTGTGCTGCTTAATATTTTTGTAGAAGCGGTGACACTTTTTTTCAGGATTCTTGATGAATAGAAAGTTCAAAAGAGCAGCATTTCTTTAAAACAGAATCTTTTGTAACATTATAAATGTCTTTACTGTAACTTTTGATCAATATAATGAATACTTGCTGAATAAAAAGTATCAATCTCTTAAAAAAAAAAAATCAACTGAAACCAAACTTTTGAACAGTAGTGTAAAAAATACATACATTATTATATATTTAATATAAATAGGAATTTCTAGCAGAGAAACTACTTTTGTAATTCTTAAACCTTTTAGATCAAACCATGTTCAGTGTTGTCAAGTTAATACATCTATAAACGGCATCATTTTATGTATCATGATACATCATTTATGTCCAGAGAACAAACACACTGTGCCAAATATATTTGTTCAAATCCCTAACCTTTAGCATAGTCTATAATCTAGGCAAGAATCACTAATAAAGTAAAAATTCACTACACTGCGAATCTCAAGGTAAAGAACATACTACACCTGGGTCTGGAGCAGTGGATCAGTAAACAATTCCATTTTAGAAGTACAGGAAGCTGACATTTAAAGTGGAGTTCAGCCAAACTGGGAATAGCACTGACCTCTCAGAAGGAACAACGAACCAGTACTCGTGCTTCCTGTCTCTTTGGGCGTACTGCTGCATGGAGGCGCTGGCATGGGACACAAAAGTCTTCCGCATGGCCCTGCCAACCCGCAGGCACAGGAACTTGTGCGACTTGGACTTCTGCTTGCCTTTGGGCCCCGGCACAACTGGGACAGGAAACAAACAGTACAAAGCACCTGTTTTTCACAGTTATCTCAGCATGCTAAATTAAAACCTGAATCTTGCATTCTATTTTTACTAATCTATATTTGAGTATATTTATGGATGCTGGATGCAACACATAAGCTGTCATATTGAATGAGCTGATGCTGTTAGTGTGCTGCAGAGAAATACATAAACGGAGCAAATTAAATCTGTGGATCTACAGCCAATCCAGCATGACTAACTGAAAATGTATCTTTCAGTTTATTTTTAGGGCCTCATCCTTATTAGACTGCAGCAGTGATACAACAGGATCATATGTAGGCTGACACCTCAATATATTTGTACGTTCTGCTATGTCATCAAGGATTGGATATCTTTTATATAAGCAATACCCTTGGGAAAGATAAATACAATGAGAAATAAGCTTAAAGTCAACATGAAACATATTCACAACCCATTTTACTTGCATTTTTTATTTACAGTTTAGAGTGAAATGGCATATTATAAAGCAAAAGTAGGATGCCGGGACCCATATATATATATATACAGTATATATATATAACATTCTTTTGGCACCAATTTTAGTAAGAATTAGAACGTGTCACAATATTACTACTTTTACTGTAAAATGTATATATTAAATGTTAATTGTTAAATGCACTTTTTTTCTATTAGTTCACATTCTCTTCCCCAAAAAGTTATTCTGTCATCAAAACATGCACGTGTATGAATGCATATACACTAGTCAACATTTGAAGCGGATCGAAACCTTTCATCAAAGTTGTCCTAAAACCTAAAAGCGTTCTTGATGAACTTTTTGGATCCACTTCAAATGTTGACTACTGTATATATGCATCCCTAAAAATATACACTTTTTTTTTTGATGACAGAATGCAAAGAACTTTTTGGGGAGAATAATGTGAACTAATGAATCCAGGGCAATAAGCTTGTAAACAAAGTAAAAAGGGTCTAATTTAATTTTGTGTTGACGTTAACAAGTGTGCTAACCTTCCTCTGTACTCTGTCCCTCATCTGCTCCAATCTCATTAGCTGGTGTGAAGTCATTGGACATCCCTTGCTCTCCTTCCTTCATTTCACTGGTTGATTGTATAGTCTGAGCTTCCATGCTCTTCTGTGTCTCATGGGCTTTTGCAAAATCCTCAACAGCCACAGTGTCCGAACAAAGCGACTCGGATGTGGTGCGTGATTTGGCCTCATCCGCAGGCTGGTCCCTCGTTACGTTCTTCAAAACGTTCTCAGACACAACCTCACTGGATAAATCTGTAGTATTCAGACTCTGCTCGATACCACTATCCCTCCATTCTCTTTCCTCAGTTTCTGCATTTTGTACAGCTTCTTTTACATCCTTTTTGTCAACCATTGAGGGTTCTTCGGTGGCTGTGGCGGCCTGGTTGATGGTTTGCACTGATTCAGAAGACGCACCGGAGGACTTTATCTGCTGCAGCTCATCAGAAGATGTTGCGAGGGCATCATCACGGACTGGAGAAAGTTCTGACTCTGTAAAAACATCTTCGGACAGAGATGCTTCTGTGCTACGAGGGGCCGTACTGGCACTGTCGTTGCCCGTCTCACGGATTCGGTGTGCTGCATCGGCTGCGTTGAGACGAGGCGCCCTCTTGAGATGGCTCACCTCAGTTACAGAAGGCTCTAGCTCCAGATCTCTGGGTTGACAAAAAAATGAATATGAATGGTGTCATTTAAAAAGTCATGCATTTCCAGTGTTAAGATGTTCGAACCAAACAGTTTCTGGTTCGCATTGACTTATTTAGTATTTATTTTTCATACTATGGAAGTCAATGGGGACTATCAACTGTTTGGTTACCAAAATTCTTCAAAATATTCTATTTTTTTTGGTTGAGACCAGCTTTAGGGTGAGCAAATGGCAAATTTCATTTTTGGTTGAACTATCCCTTAGGCCATCAAGCAACTTACGGTGGCACAAGCTCTCGGACCCTGATGTCGGTGATTTCCCTGCACATGGCTGCAGACTGCACCTCCTCCAGCGGGCACATGATCCCGTACTCCTCACATCCTCGCTCCTGCACCAGCCGGTCTGACTTATGAGGGTCAAACATGATGTTGTTTGGGGTGACCAAAAGAACACCACTGACTATACCCTGAAAGACAGAGAACAGAAGAGGAAGATGGCAATTAAACATCAATGGACCATTATACAATACTCTTCTATGGCCAGATTTGATTGTCAGAGCAAAGACGGAACATATTGCTCTTGTTATTGCACATTGATTATTCTGGCCACAAAACGCCCACTTAGGCATGAAGAGAGCGACATGAAATAAAACCAGCCAAGCTTTTGGTTTTGTTTTTCTTGTGTTGTTTGGTGGAAAATCTAAAATCAGTGATACTAAAATAAAAGATCAGCATAGAATTGTGGTCTATAGGAGAAAATGCTCAGAAAATACAGTAAAAAAAAAAAAAATAGTGAAAATGTGTTTAGACTTTGTAGTCATAATTTTTATCCATCCAAATGTAACAAGTACCATATAATCCACAAACAATTCTGAAAATAAAGTGAAATATCTACATTTAATCATTTAGCAACATTATTAACTTTAGTTAATTTTGAAATTTGCAGAACACAATGCCAAGCTAGAGCAGAAATGAACAATATTTGAATATAATACACATAATAACTATAATGGATAAACAAACTAGAAATGTGTGTGTGTGTGTGTATGTATGTATATATGCATATATATATATATATATACATATACACAGTGCTTTGCGAAAGTATTCATACCCCTTCATTTTTTTGTTGCTGCCTTATGTTAAATTGCTTTAAATTACTTTTTCCCCCACATTATTCTACACTCCATACACCACAATGGCAAAGCAAAAAAAAACAGGTTTTTAACATCTTTGCAAATTTATTAAAAATAAAAAACTAAAATGATTCCATTGCATAAGTAT